TGCATAACCGTCTTGTTGCTGCAGAGTTTTTAATCGACATGTTCTCACTCGTTCAAAGCCAACCAGGAAAGCTGCAAGTCAATTTCCTTTCAACGTCTCAGCTGCCCTAGTTGCCTTTGAAGACAAGCATCCATAATGAATAGCGTCGATTTTCATCCCAATTAGAGTGTTTATCTCGGCTAAGCTCACCTATAGTGGTGCCTGTGCTTCTTGTGGGGGCGATGAATTTTCATGAAGGACAAACACTGTACTTCAAATAAGAAAACAGCTTATCAAGTGGTGGGATTTAACGCTTTAGCAGGAATTACTTTCCTCCAATTTGTTTCTGCGGTGTAAACAGCCATTGTGGCACCGGGTCGCTGTTCGGTGGCGGGAGGGTGGAGGAAGGCGGGTGGAGCTAAGCAGCAGGGAGAGTAGTGTGGCAAAAAAATAAATAAAGGCGAGAGAACAAGCACGTTTGTGTAAGAAGAGCTTCACTGAGCTTTTATTTGAAACGGGAAATAAATGGAGCACATCACATCAACTCGCAGCAGCCTGACAAGACTTGTCAGATCCTGACAAAAACATATCTCTCACGTCAATCACCCCATATACACCCTAACGTGTATTTATGGGTCCTTTTAATGTGAGGCCTGTGATGTTTCTGGGCTGTTGTTAAGGATGAGAGTCAACAACTCGGATATAAGCCAGAAAATTCAACAACGTCAGATGTAAACTAGGACGGCGGGTTGTTTTAGTAAAAGAGGCGGTGTTTTTTTTATAATTATTATTCTAAAGAGCTGGTTTGTTGCACCACACTTGTGCAAAGAAGCAGTTTCCCCCTGACACCTCCAACCGCTCGGGTTCAGGGAACCCACCGCTCCGACATGCAACATTTAAATGGAGTCATTAAAATTTAAACACCTACCAATCTGGGGACAATCACGACAGACATCTGCCTGGCATGCGACAAGTTAATGGAATACGATAGCTGCTTCAGCGAGGAGTCTCGTTCACGTCAACAGATGAGGAAACCTGTTGTGGATGCTTGTTTCGCACTTGTTTCATCTAAAAATAAGAATTATTGAAACTAAACATCTCTCAGCAGGATAAAAGCTCTGTTGCTTTATTTGACTGGAGGAAATCACAGTTTTGTTCCTGCCAGTATTGCTTTATTTGGTAAAGACGCAGATAAAATATCCACAACTTCCCAAAATCAAGTTAATATCATCTGTAACGGTACACCAGCTGTCAAATAAAGGCAGAGAAGAGAAAAATAAATCTTCAACGTGGAGAAGTCTGAAAGAAATAAATGTTTAATAAAAAAAAAAGTTCAAATCTCATTTCTGATCACGGCAGCTGATCCTGCTGACCAAATAAAACACACAATTTAGTTCCTGCACTGTGTTGAAAAAAACAAAGTATTGTTAAAAGTCCAGTTTGTGTCATATTTACAGGTGCTGGTCATACAATTATAATATCGTGAAAAAGTTGATTTATTTCAATAATTCCGTCCAAAAAGTGACACTTGTATATTATATTAATTCATTCCACACAGACTGATATATTTCAAATGTTTATTTCTTTTAATGTTGATGATTATAACTGACAACTAATGAAAACCCCAAATTCAGTATCTCAGAAAATTAGAATATTAAGACCAATTTAAAAAAATAAGATTTTTAGAAATGTTGGACAACTGAAAAGTATGAACATGCACAGCACTCCATACTTAGGTGGGGCTCCTTTTGGATTACTGCAGTAATGTGGTGTGGCATGGAGTTGATCAGTCTGTGGCACTGCTCAGGTGTTATGAGAGCATCTGCATCTCCATAAAGTTGGTCAGCAGCAGGAAGCATGAAGTGCTCTAAAAGTTCCTGGGAGATGACTGCATTGACCTTGGACCTCAGAAAACACAGTGGACCAACACCAGCAAATGACACGGCACCCCAAACCATCACTGACTGTGGAAACTTGACACTGGACCTCAAGCAACGTGGATGCTGTGCCTCTCCTCTCTTCCTCCAGACTCTGGGACCTTGATTTCCAAAGGAAATGTAAACTTTACTTTCATCAGAGAACATAACTTTGGACCACTCAGCAGCAGTGCCAGGTGAGATGCTTCTGACGCTGTCTCTTGTTCAAAAGTGGCTTGACATAAGGAATGCGACAGCTGAACCCCTTGTCTTGCATACGTCTGAGCGTGGTGGTTCTTGAAGCACTGACTCAAGCTGCAGTCCACTCTTTGTGAATCTCCCCCACATTTCGGAATGGGTTTTGTGTCACAATCCTCTCCAGGGTGCAGTTATCCTTATTGCTTGTACACTTTTTTTATACCACATCTTTTCCTTCCCTTCGCCTCTCTATTAATGTGCCTGGACACAGAGCTCTGTGAACAGCCAGCCTCTTTAGCAATGACCTTTTGTGTTTCGCTGACCTTGTGCAAGGTGTCAATGGTCGTCTTTTGGACAACTGTCAAGTCAGCAGTCTTCCCCATGATTGTGTAGCCAACAGAACTAGACTGAGACCATTTAAAGGCCTTTGCAAGTGTTTTGAGTTAATTAGCTGATTAGAGTGTGGCACCAGGCGTCTTCAATATTGAACATTTTCACAATATTCTAATTTTCTGAGACACTGAATTTGGGGTTTTCATTAGTTGTCAGTTATAATCATCAACATTAAAATAAATAAACATTTGAAATTTATCAGTCTGAATGAACGTAAATAATCTACAAGTTTCACTTTTTGAATGGAATTTCTGAAATAAATCAACTTTTTCATGATATTCTAATTTTATGACCAGCAGCTGTATTACAGAAATTAAACAGCTGGCCTTCCTTGAAGAAATGCTCATCTTTCACCTTCATGTCAGAGATTTAAACTTAAGATTACACGAAAATGAGACTGGGAGTGGTGGAGCAGAGGTTAGAGGAGGTCAGCCTGTGATCGGAAGGTGGTTCAATTCCTGGTACTGACAACATCAAAATGTGGGTGGGATTGGTGAAGCACCCACACCTGCTTCCACCCTCATTTGCCGCACTCTGGACCCTTGAGCAAGGCCCTAACCCCCACCATCTGCTCCCCCGGGCGGCCTAGATAGCAGCGCTCTGCTAAAATGAAACGTTTAGTAGTGGAAAAAAAAAAAAAAAAACCTCTGTGACTCATTTTGTCAGCATGGCTCTCATGACTGTTTCCAACGTCTTTTTGTTGTTGTTTTCTAAGAAACATAAGATTTTGTGTTAATACTTGGGTTCAGCTGTCAAAATATTGGTGCCATTTGCCATTAAAGGGATAGTTCAGATGTTTTGAAGTGAAGTTCTGCGGGAGGTTTATCAACACCTAATATTTTACCTCTTACTGCTCTTTGATTGGTCTCCCCCCCCCCCCCCCTTGTCCTTTATTGCATTGTGACACTTAGAATTATTGTCTGAGTGTCAAAGTGATGCCCACCAGATTTACTTTCACAAGCAGAGCATTATGGTGGGCCTTAATGCTCCACTTGATATATAAATTAAATTTTATTAGAATATGCTTTGGGGTTTGTTCCTGATGTAATGGACACGGGAACGGGAAAAAAAAGAAGATAACAAAGCAGAAAAGTGAGAGAAGAGTTAAAATGTAAAGAAGGAGATAGGAAAAGAGGAGAGAGAGAGGGATAAAGAGAACACAAATCAACATCATTGAAGTCTGCCTCTAGACCTGTGGAAAGAGAAAAAAAAAAACACAAAAAAAACCCTGACAAAACCAAGAAACCACAACAAACAACTCATATAATGATAGTTATAACATCATTAGAAAGTATTTTATACATTACATGGTATATAGAATATATATTTGATGGCCACCACAACCCAACTGAGTGTGTATCTGATAAACACCTGAATCTAAACACCTGTGTGAGCATGCTTATCACTATAAGGTTTCTCCATAAAAAGGTTAAATAACCAGGCAATAATGCAAAATTGATAACGTAAAAGTTTATAAATTGTTTGCATGAATTGCTGGAATTAATCCACTTTGGTTCTATTTGAACTCATCTGTTTAGTCAGAATTATTGAATTGCTCCAAACTGATACAGTTAAAAGAGCTACAGCAGGTCGTATTGTTCTTAAGGTTTCCACAGAATCACACTTCAGAGGAGCTGAAGTCTTTACAAGCCCAGTTTCTAAAGATTGGTGAACGTGATCCACATTTCCACGACGGAATGAAGCGATTATTTGAAAGAAAATCTAAGGTCTCGTGATGAAGATGGAGAAGTTTGTTGTGGTTTGAGGGGAGGGTGTAAAACGTATTGTCTCATTTGATATAGGAAAAAGCCAGAGGGCCAAAGGGTGAACATGTAAAAGACTACAGGACAGACTACAGTAGTCCCTCGCTACTTCGTGGTTCAACTTTCGTGGTTTTTCCACAATTGTCAACTTTAATATTACTCGCGTGATTGGGACGGTACGGAATCAAAAAAGTTAACGAAAAAATACTTTGGGCAGGCGCTGCCATTTTGTAGTTTTCTTTCAATAAGCATATACTGTAACGTCAGTCGAAGAACTACATTACCCAGAAGCCAACAGTGCTTTCAGTCCGCTGCTTTCTGTCAAAATGGAGGGAAAGTTTTGATCCGATCTGAGCCTGATTAAAAAGTTCGGTCCTTATTCGTGGTGACTTGGTGCTCAGTGGATGCAGAGCCGATCAGAACCGGCCCAGGAAGCCTCTCGGGTGGGGAGGCGTTGCTTGGAGGTCCAGTGTCTTCTCCGGAGCTCACCCGGACCTTTTTCATCGGATTTCTCTGGATTATTTGGACTGGATCGGGACCATTGTTTGGTTTCGTGCTGGCTCGCCGAAGGTCCGGCTCTCTCCAAAAGCGTCTGGTGCTCGAGGGACCACTGTAATTGTTTCTGTACCAGAACATACAACTAAATACTTCTACACTTGTCTAACAAGGAAATCGGCTAATTTATCAGTTAACATAAAAATATAAATATGACCAATGTAAAAACAAGAAGCATTACACAATGACACACGGCTTCCATTTTAAACTTTATTTGTTGTTTCTGTTAATAGTTTAGCAAAGCAGACATCAAAGTATGAAGGCATCCTTTTGTAGAACTGTAATTCATCAAATTTTTAGTATGGCGCCACTAAAAAATTATAAATGAATCATACCAGCAATTTAAAGAAATCAAAACCTTTTTTTTTTGTTTGTTTAATCAACCGAAAGAAAATAAATGATTAGCAACAGGTTGTAGCCATTACATGATGGAAAGAAAAATACAAATCATCTGCGAGCAACACACGACCAAGAATTCCAGCTTGGACCACCTCCTTATGTCTGTGGTGCTGATTTTTGTTGTTCGATATGAAATAAGGCAGATTCCTTCCGTACAGTTAGAGACAATCTGGAAAGGAGACAAGCAAGAGCGAAGAAGACTGTAGTTCTTGTTTAGGTTGGTGAAAATTCAGAGGAGTTTTCTGGCATGCACTGGAAATGGCAAAGAAAAGAAGAGGGGGAGCAGAAGAACAAATCGATTCGTCAAGAGACGCTCATCCTCGTTTGTGTGCAGGATCTGGGGCGTTAACAGATAAAATGCCTTACAGCTATTGGCTGACTCGACTTGGAGGCGCACCGGTGTGTGAGGAGACGGGGCAAGTGTTGGTGTGGTGCTCTCTGAAGAGCCTCACAGATGCATCAGTTAAATGCCACAATGAGTTGTAAGAACTAAAGGAAGGTGGATGTTAAATATCCAGCCAGGAGTGTGGACATGTAGGAGCCGTGGCTGCTGTCCTCCGACAGTTTGACCGCGCTCTCACAGTGGGTTTCATCAAATAAAACAGACTCTAACTTGGTTGATCTCACTGCACCCCTGATGGCAAAATGATGTTTGACTCTTCGCACACAGTGAGGTATGGCTCATCTTTTCTGGTTATGTTCAAGTCTTATCGTTAGGGTTTATACAGACATATACATACAGTACCAACATACTCGAGGGAAGAATGGTTTCTTAGCAAAGAGGTGGTGGTGGGGAGCAAAGTAAAGTTGGGGATGTGAGCATCTGGTGTGGGAACTGGTTGTCCTGGGCCAGTGTCAGAGCCCATTCTGACACTCTGACACCAGGGTGGTTGGCCTTGCACAGTTTGCTGGCTGTCAGATGAGGTCAATTGTTCCCCCTCTCAGCTGGTCATTCTTTGTTCTCTGCTGCGTCTGGACAGGAAATACAAGCAGGATGCAAGATCGGTGTTAGTCCTTACTACCAATTCTTTTTAAAGTTAACTGTTCATAAGACGCTCACGAATGGAGAGAGCAATATTTTTGGCTCAAGTTCAACAGCAGCTGGCAGCCTTCGTGTAAACATCCTGATGCGTACGCTCAATAATCCAGGTAGAAAAATCTAACAAAGTCAGGTCTTCCGGACGGATTAAAAAAGTAATTAATTAAATAAAATTTTTAAAAAGTTGAAACGTTTCGTCTTTTATCCAAAAGACTTCATCAGTCTGAGGAGCAATAAACCCAGTGAACACTGAATAGTGACGTTATGACAAAGGGCATGTACAGACAAACGTAACTTATCATATTTCCATGTATTTATTGTTTAATTGAGTTAAATCACAGGAAATAATATCAGTATAACATACAAACCTAAAAATAAAACTTTGCATTCTTTGCAACAAGTATGTTTCTGGGAGGATGTCAACAATGTTTGTTAAATGAAAACTCAAGTGCAAATCAAAGGGAATATTATAGACTTCATAACTAAATGTAATCAGCAATAATTAAAAAAAAAAGTGAGTTAGACACTGATAAACAGTCACAGAGGATGATTCTGAAAGGCAACATGAAGCTTTTGTAAAAAATAAAATGCTCCATCACCTGTGTTGAATAAAACAGGCTGTCCATTGTGATTCCTTCATGTTGTACTCAGGCTACATTTAAAAGCACATTACATGCTGGCCAGCTCTATAACACAACACCTCACCTTGATCCCGACTGTTGTTTAACTACATCTCTTTTTCTTCTCTGGTGCCTTTGTCTGGCATTTTTTGAGCTTTCCCCCCTCCTACACCAACCTGTGTACCTCTGCCAACTTTCATAAGCTGCTAGCCTGTCCTATTTATTCAACCCCAACAATCTGGTCAAAGCAGATGCTTAATGATTTTTTTTCCCCGTCTACCTGTAAACTCCACGATGCCCAAGTCTTAATCTCCTTTTCTGGCTTAACTCTTAAGAACGCAGAACATTTGTTGAGATAGAAATTCAAAACACTCTCCACAAATGTCAACTTTCAAATTACATGCCATCTTATTACCCTGAATCTCAGCACAAATCCGAGAATAACAACAGGGTGTCATTATCAAAAGTGATTTATTGGCATGATTATTACCCCTATAGTTTGAGGTGGCTGCGAGTTGGAATAATATGCATCTTACACCTGATCTATTGAATGTCTGATGGTTGAGTTTCCAGGTAATCCATCAGATTCAATCTCCAAAGACATGCTGACAACTTTGTACCAAACAATCGAGGCTTTAGTTGCAGCAGAGCAGATTTACAAATGCACGTGGCCCTAGAGGAGCGTGCACAAAGCCTGCCTGCTCCTGCAGAAACAAGATGGAGGCAGACGGGGAAACGGCAAAATATAGCTCCACAAAACTGATGAGTCTCTTAAAAGAATAATTTTAACTCAGCAGCTGTGGTCACTAATAAGAATGTGTGAGATGAGTGCACATCTGCGAGTCAACACGAACATTTCCTCTGTTTTCTTACCTTTGGGCTGAATGCTTTCAGTTTCATTCAAATCAGTTGCTTTTTCTACTGAGCGCTCAAGATTTTCTGGCTCCTCTGGACGGGAAAGAGAAGAAGAGAAGAGTTTACGAGCAATAAAAATCAAGCAGTCCGGTGCCCGCCATCCTCTGCTGCATCTCAACTCAGCAACTTCTGCTTTGTCAAGCTTGTAAATCAAGCTGAGCAAATTTATAGATTTTATGCAACTAGATGCAGTACTGACCTCAAAGTAAACATTTTCTAATCAGCGTTTGCCTTTAACAAGACTATATAATTATTATAGAACGTCTGATGCTAGCTACTTGGATTGGGCATTTTTAGTTTGTGGCAAACATTAAATATTGTCAATCTGAGTCATTAAAGATATACCTGCAGCAAAAACCAATATATGCTATGACATCCAGCCTTAAATCACAATACAGTGTGATTCAAAGCAATATATAACAACAAAGCAAAGAAATGGTCGGCAGCTCACGTATAAAAAACAAACAAACAAACAAAAAAAATATATATTTAAAACCTGTTTGATAATAATTAAATACACAAAAAGAGGCTTTGTGCAAAATAATGAACAATGCCAACAGCAGACATGTTTAAAACTTTTAATAAATCAGTCGTGAGCAGCTAAATTACATTTTCCTGGAATATGAGTTGATTCACATCGCTTTAAGCACATTTTCAGTGTTTGGTGCTAACGCCGACACGGCTGCTGCAGTTCTTCTCCTGAACTGTAGGTGTCACTAAAGAGAAAACAGCAGGACGTGTAGCCAGAAGTAGAGCTGTTTGCTGTATGAAAAGGAATTGGGGTTTTTTTTCCAGATAAAAACGTAACTGAACTTAAACATTATTTTAATGTCTCTACATTGCTACAGTTATTTTTAAGAAAGTTCTCAAGTGATGTTATGACTTGCCAATCATGTGATCGATCTGCCATATTGTAGGTCATGCATCATCTCGGCAGAGGTCAGCCATTGATGACATAGCAGTTTATTTTTGTCTGTCTGTGTGATGATGGTGCAGGTGTGCATGATGCAGATGGTTGTTACAACCGATCTGATCACGAGGAAGTGAGACGTTCATTTCATGCAATACAGAAGGTCATAAAACATTAAGAAGCAGCAGCTCAATCGCCATCAAGCAAGTGACGGCAAGCCCACCTGGTCCAGATCCCAACAGAACCAAGCATCAGTTCTGAGCTCTGGAGAACAGAGTAAGATGTTCTAACCCTAAACTGACTGTGCGGCTCCGTCTATCTCAATCACTCATCACTCCAGCCTTCGCTGCGTCTCGTCCGCTGAACTCCCTTCAACTTACCTGTCTTTTTCTTCTTCCTGTAGATTTGTGGACGCTTGACAAATTATTTTGGGCCGCAGTCAGAGAGGAGTTAAAGGTATGTTGGTTAGTTTGGTGGGCGGTGATGGCCCAAGTACGCCTCGTACGACGGCGTTTGGTTCAGTTGAGTGTGTTTCATTAGCGCTCTTGGTGTGCTTTTTGCTTAAAGCAAAATGCGATATGGCACCGCTGGATAAAAGAACCCGGATGATGACGTCAATGAAAACTATCTATTGCTGCAGTTGCTTCAAACTCATGCACGTCTGGCAATTGTTACAAATCAGTTAATCTTCACACTCCTAGTAGCTACCATCCAATTCAAAATGTTTATATGTGTTGTGTTAAAGTTGGAAAGGATTTGAATAAGAAAGCACGTAGAGGTGACAAGGTTGTAGTTTATATGGAGCGCTATTAAATCTACTCACTTGTGTTGCTGGCGTCAGCGTTGTTCTCCGGTTCCTCTGCAATGCAGAACACATTGATACGGACATGTCGGTAACTTTAAAAGTTCAGCTCATGTTTCTAAACATAGTTCTTTACAAAGCTATTAAATATGACGACGGACTGATTTTATGCAGCTTCCTTTTCAACGTCAAAACCTTTGTCTCTAACAAATTATTTTCTGTATTAAAAATTCAAACCAGTTCCGATAGTTTAAAAGCAGCTTCATCTTTTGTCAGGTTGCTTTGTCTTTCACGTCTGGAACTGCACTGCACTTTACAGAAAAGAACAAAACAAACACAAGAAGGGAAGAGAGACTCATGCAAAATTAATTACAGACTGCCATCCCTGTTAGGCAGCCTGAGACCCTTCCTACCTTCCTCTGCAGCCTCCTGCCATCCTACTTGTTACTTTGTAGTTACACAACTCCTTTATCGTCACTCCCTGAGCAAACCTCCGCATTTCCTTCTTTGCAACAACAATCATCCAAACAAAGCACATCATAAAAATAACCGCTCTCCCCAGGCAGTCTTGTGATAATGTAAACAAATACAACTGCTTAGACACGATAGAAGAATGTGAGGAATTCAAAGGGCTGTCATTGTTCTGTGTGTTTATTGATACAAGTCTGTTGTCGAGGGTATTTAATAACCTGGAAAAAGTAGTTTGGATGCATATACAACTTTGCGGATGCTCGTAGCGGTTCACAGAATGTATGTGGGCACCATGAAACCTTTGTTTCTGTCGCAGTGTGATCTATGAACTGCGGGTTACGGCAAAAACACCTTCTCTGCATTTTAGTTTCAACATTTTTGAACGAATCGCTGCTTTCAATGACACCACCGGGGTCGGAAGAGACTGCTGAGAAGCAGGAAGGAGGAAGCAAAAACAGTTTCAGGCTTTTTTTTTTTTCCCCTCAACCTTTTCATCTGAGGCATTGAACTGTCCGCACAGCAAAATAACAAGATCTGTTTGTTAAAAACAATTTAATGGATCCTTTCCTGGTTTAAAGTCTGGCTCTTTTGTGTTTGATCTTAACAGTAACGGTAGAATTATACCGTGCCTGCAGAGCTGTGCTGTACAGGGTGTTTAATGCCTAAAAGCATTTTTCATTCAGCGTTTGTTTCCCGAGGTCAAACGCACACATGCACAGGCAAATACAATCGAAGACACAGCAAAACAATTAAATTCATTGATCTGTACTGTACTGCATCAATTCTGCAAACACAATGACTGATAAGCAACAATATCCGTTCATGTTACAACCTATATTTTATTAATGCGAAATGTGTTTATTGTTGGTGCAAAGCCTCTAACGTGAGCGACAGAAGGAGCACCCTGAAGCCCTCTCCTCATTCCAGGTTCTTCTTAAGTTTTTCCCCCTAAATAAAAACCACGCAGTGTTGGTCTTAAGGTGTTAAGGTGCTGTCCTGCTCCTTTAATATCCAGCACTAAACAAAGCAAAAAGCTTTCGCAATTTCGGTTCAATGTGGCCCCAGATTCCCACCGCCCGCCTGGAGCTCCGCAGGAGCAGCAACATTGTTCTTTCTCAGCCTCTAATTTGGCCACTGTGTGCTGAGAGCGGCGGGGCTATAATTTAGAAAAGGATCTGAGAGTGCTGTGGTGAACACACAAACAAGATGTGGGGGAGAGAGAAAAACAGGCCTCTGTCTGGTGGAGAGGCGCAGTGAGCTGAGGGCAGAAAAAGATGAGAAGAGCAGAAAACTGAGCAGACATTACAGGTTTCCTTAGACTGAGCCCTTACCGCTTCACAGAGACGAACCCTGCAAAGCTGACTGGTAAAGAAACTTTTAATGGTGCGTTTGATCTGGTTCTACAATCTGAGCTGTAATCAGTCAGTTCTGATACAAAGTCATCAGGATACACAGATGAAGACATGTTTATTAGTGTCCTACGTTTATTTCACGCCAATTTCTCAACATAAGACGATCTTAATAACAAGCAAAACGAAAACAACTGGTATGAACAGTGGCAGGCAACAGACATTTCTTCAAGGAATGCTGGACTTTGAATTTAGAAATGAACAGAGCTGATATGGCTGGTACCAAACCTAATGTTTTTAAATTCGCTCAACAAAGTAGTTAATCCTAATAAATATATAAATTACTGAATGTGAATAAATCTCTGTGTTTTTGAACTATGTTGACAATTTTAAATGAAAATTTAAAATGTTTTTTACTGATTCATTCTCTGCTTTTTACCATATTTACATTATAGGGTGGTACAGTGGATTTATCAAATTATATTATTTATCAACAAAAAAGGTTGAATCATGTCATCTGGACTTCGTTTTTTTT